CTGTTTCTCTTCTCTTCCTTCTCCTTTCTCTCACTTTTCTTCTGCTTTTGTAAACCTAAAATCTATTAGGATTCAAGACTGATTACAGTCTTGATCTTCTACTAATTCCTCACCCTCAATAGAAATCCCCAATAACTTGCTTACCTCAACTTTCATGTTAACTACCTCTTCCCAAGTCTAGCTCACTCTGCACAGCTTGAGTAACATCCATGATCAACTCCTTATCTTTAAAGGCATTAGTTGAGATCTCCTCACCTCTTCTATCTGTTTCTTGTAAAGGCTTTGTCCTATATTTTCTGGTTCCAAAAGCCTGGCTTAAAAGATCTTTTGAACCCCCTCCAGCATCAAAATGTGGAAATTTACCAGCATGGTGGGATTATCTACTTTTGGTCGTTTAAAGATGCTTGGTCCATAAAGCCTGTGTATATTCCTTGTATACTTTGGCTTGTTCTTAGTTAGTTGGATATTTCTTAGTTTTCTCCTTTTTGAGTCCACCTTATGTTTATATTTATTGGGCGGTGTATTTTTTCTCATTTCTTCGAGTCATTACTGGAGGAGAAAAATTAGATAGCCTTCTGTTGAATTGAAGATTTTTTTTTTTCATGTGTGATTCTTTACTCAATCTTGATCATGATATACCATTAAGGCCTAGTTTTCTTCTACTTTAATTTGATTATCTGGGAGTATTCAAGGCCTATCCAAAACTTCTTGTGTCATAGTTCAAAGCTAGCAACTCTGTTGAGAATCTTTGGTGTTTCTTTTTATGGTCTTGCAAGCACAATGTGTAGTTGTAGGTTGTCTTGCATCAAATATAATCATCAATTGGTGCTTCAACCATAAAATCCAGCTACATATAACCTGATTTGTACATTTTCTAGATCAGCCCAGATTGTACTATATCAATTTCACTAGAAGGTTCTTCAGGAGAGAATGAACAAATCCGATTTATGCTGATTTAGATATGCATTCAGTAGATTGAGTTTCTTGTTAATTAAGATGAAGATGCATCTTTTTCAAACTAGGAGCTATTTGGAGGTGGCCTTTGCTAGCAAGGCTTCTTTACCGGAGTTGGTGCTAATCACTCTTTTGCATGTATTTTTATCACCAGAACTGTTTTATAAATCTTTTCTCTAGACATATTACAATTCACAAACAAGCCATGAGTTCATATTCTTGATATTCAATTTCATTGATATCTTCCTCCAAGATAAAAAAAAAAACTACTTTTGATTTTTTGATTTTTGATTTTTTAGCTTTCCACACCTTCATTTTACCAGCACCAATCTCAAATTTATTGCATTGTTTACTTAATTTATTGTCTGAATAATTATGTTCTTGTTACAGGTTCGTTTGCATCTTCTCACTGCAGTATTGAAATGTTTCCTAAGAAGACCACCTGAAACTCAGAAAGCCTTGGGAGCTGCATTGGCTGCCGGTCTTGCAGATTCTCACCAGGTGCTTTTTGGCCTATCCCTCAAGAAGTTGAAAATGTGCCCAATTATTTTAAGAAGTTTTAGAATTTTTTTACAGCAGTATTCCACTAAATGGTCATTTGACTGCAGGATGTTCATGATAGAGCCTTATTCTACTATAGGCTTTTACAATACAATGTATCCGTCGCAGAGCGTGTGGTGAATCCTCCCAAGCAAGCAGTTTCAGTCTTTGCTGATACTCAGAGCAGTGAAATCAAAGATCGTATATTTGATGAATTTAACAGCCTATCCGTTTTATATCAAAAGGTGCTCTCTCTCTGAAAAAATTGCAAACACTTTTTTTGAGAAGTAAAGATTGTGGAAATATTTGTTGCATGTTACATGTGAAACTACATTTGTTTGGTTATTATGTCAGAATTTCGTGCATGGAATTGTTTTCTTGGAACAATGTTTTTGTTTTTTTATGGGAAACGGTAACTTTCA